TTTCGTTTTTATGATTTGGGCATTGTTCTATGGATGAGGGTTGTTCTGTGTCTTCATCTGTTTATTCGGTTTTTATAGATGTTCTCGTTTGCAGAGATCACGCTTCCAACACACACGCCACGCTCTCTTAACCTTTGCGTATTGACTTTCAAGGAAGAATGGTTTGAATTGCTGTTATGCAGTTGTCACGAGAGATCTGCGAGTCCGATATCCAAGAGCTGGAATCTATTTGTCTGACCCTGAAAACCCAACTATCAGCTTCTGACTGGCTTTGAAAGCTTAAAAGCTTTAGTGGATGATTGAATATTTTCACATTTTTCCATTTCTATTTCTGGTTTTTGGTTTCTTTTCTTTTCTGTGTAATTACATTTAGGTCAAGGTATAGATAGTGGAACAAATAAAGTAGTACAAACAACATCTCATCAACTCAATTCGAGATAAATCGAGAAATATTCCGAATGCTCTCTTTCAATCAATGCGTAATCTCGCGTACGCTTACTCCACCGCATCTGCGCGGGAGCGAGTCCGCAGGCCATCCATCCAAGCAGACCCGGCTCTGACCTCCGAGTCCAAGTCCAACACTTCTCACAACGACGCCCGTTGGACAACCATCCCGGATACCTCGATGGGAGGGCATTACCACCCAAAAACCTCCCCCACACTCAACCCACACCACCTAACCCCCAAAATCCCCACAAAGGCAATAACAACATCCACAACCCCCAAAACCGCCGCCCCCATCATAAACCGCGGGCTAAAAATCCGATACAACATAAGATGCCTCCTAAGATGGCCAGCCCACATCGTCGTCGCTAGATTAATAGTCCCCAGATACAAGATATGCGTTGTGACGGCCTGAATCACGTCCGAGAGAAGGCGCAGGGACGGGTTATCGGTTTTACCGGGTTCTTGGACTTGAAGCGGGCGTTTCCAGAGGACTGTGAGCGGGACGGCGATTGCGGAGAGGATTTGGGGGCCGAAGGTGTTTAGGATGACGAGAAGGGGGGACCAGGGGTACTTGACTGTTGAGAGGGGGATGAAGGCTGTTTCCCATTGGATTGTGGAGAGGACAGCTTGGTGGCCGGTCTTAAAGTAGTAGTAGGAGCCTAGCAGACCCAGAACGATAGGGCCGATGGAGACGTTAGTTGTGGCGAGGGCGTTTGTGTCGAGGATTTCTAGCAAAGAAAGAATTTGCCAGAGGAGCAGGGCGATGGCGCCTTGGCCCATTGGTTTTTGCATGAGGATGACGGCGAGGCCGAAGTTGACGACTAGGAAGAAGAAGCGGGTGCCGTAGACGTTGCCGAAGCCAAGTATTGTGACTGTTGTGCGGCCGGGTTGTTGGCCAGAGGGTGAGGCGGGCTTTTCGGGATCCGGGCTGCCTTTGCTAACGCTGATGCTGACGCAGGGTTTTGCGTAGATGTAGGCTGTTGTGCCGGCTCCGAAGGCGATTGCGAAGACGAATTGGGCGAGGAACATGCGGCTAGATTTGAGGGTTTCTTTGCTTACGTTGAACCAGCCGCCGTCGTCGGCGCCTTCGAGGATCCAGAATAGGGAAGTGATGAGGAGTCCGAGGCGGAAGGCAACACCAATCCACAGCGATGACGTTCCCTCGTAGGACTTGGAACCTGCGTAGTATGCCTTGATGACAGCCGGGATGATAAGCGTCACGAGGAACGGAATCGCAAGCTGCCACGGGGCGGATGTCGAGGACGTAGCTGAAGCATAGTAAGTGGACCGACAGAACGGCATCTGTTCCTCACGGCAGAGGCGCGAGAACGATGCCAGCCTCCCAAGAAGCACAAACAGAACCGAGTGATAAAGCCCAAGAACCCGATCTTGAGTCGCCTTTTGCCGCATCGAAGACACACCCGCAACGACACCAAAAGTTGACAGGAAGAACAGCAAGATCTCATCCTCCCAGATCGTATACGAGTTCGATGCAAACCCAATCGACTGGGACACGGTGAAAATGAGCGACAACCATCCCCACAAGGAGTTTGGCAGAGGAAGCGACAACTGAGATCCAAAGATCGACCACGCAGCACCAATTATACTGCCAAAAGCAGCAAACAGGGCAGACGACTCGATGATTGGCATATCGACAATTCCAAGAACACCAATGGCGCCTCCAACAGCACCACCCAAGCCAGACCCCGCACCAGCGAGCGTAAGAAGCGAACCGGTAAGCTCCGTCCTATTCACCTTGAGACCTCTGGCATAGAATACCAACAAAGCCAAACCGGAGAACAAGATCAGAACACCCTGAATCATACTTGGCACGTCAAAGTTCGCCCACAATCCACGGCAGATCTCCAAGGTACCTCTTTGATACTGCCTGTACGAATCATACGCTGAGCGGAGTATCGCATCGGACTTGCCCTTTGCAAACGTCTGCTCTGCTTCGCGCCAGAACTCCAGAGACCCGAGAGACAGGCTGTGGTCTTCACCGCGAGCTGCTGCATATTCATGCTGGTATCTCTTGATCTGCGCAGACGTCAAGCGGTTAACCGCAGCCAAGTTCTTCACGTCGTTGCCGTACGTGCCCGCAAAAGCTTCCTCAATCGGAGATCCAAGGTTGTTGAACGGAATCGGCATGCCGAGAAGCAAGGACAAGGTCGGTACGAGATCGATCTGAGGAACAAACCGCTCCCGAGGAGACTTGGGCGGAAGAGCAGTCTCAGTGCTGGTGCGGCCGAACATACCCTTCTTCGAGTACATCCACAAAGCTGCCTCGACTTCATCGTCTGATTCACCGCCATGGTCGCCTTTGGAATCCATTCCGTGGTCTCCCATAATGACTAGTAGCGTGTCGTCGTCAACCTTCTCGATGAGGTTCCGAATGACTTGGTCCATTTCCCGGAGCTTCTCGCCCATTGTTGCGTGGTCAGGTCCATATCGGTGACCAGCGTGGTCGACACCAAGATAGTGACCGAAAACGACATCCCACTTGGTAGCGTTGTCAGGATGCAGGAGCGGGAATAGATTGGCGGTAACCCCATTGTCAACGGTATACAGATCCCACACATTGAACGAGTCGAAAGGCCGCGTCAGGTTGGCATCAAAGTAGTCAGGAAACAGAGAATGCCAAGTGTCATCGCCAAGGTGGACCAAGTTCTTTCCTGCCGCGCGCAACTGAGCAACCAGGTTATCCTCGTCAATTGCCGTTCCCGCAAAGTTGGACCCTGCGTCGACAAAGGTCGGCAGAGTTCCGGTGGTCAGACCCTTTAGTCGCTGGAGCGTCGTGGTCGGTGGGTCCGCGATGAAAGGAAGCAAGAACGCTTTCTCCGGTTCGTTGACGGCGGTCTCGTAGAGAACGGGGATATTATTGTGGAACAGATGGGCTTGTTCGCTTTCCACACTTGGCGCAAACGGGACGGTGAAATCGTAGCGTAACGCATCAATGATAATCACAATAGCCTTGTCGAACGACTTCTGGTGCCAGCAACCCTTATCACTCTTCCCACCAGTCCACGACGGCCCATGCGACGATTCGTCAAACGGGAGTACATCGCAAGACGATTTGTTTTCCAGAACCATTCGAGTCAAGAGGAACCCTTTTGTAAAGAAGAAGATACCAGCAACATGCAGCAACCTTCACACATAGACAGTCAGACACTTTTTCTCCATGCGCGCAAAGCGGCCGAGAGAACACATGGCACTCACAGTATCCACACCAACACCCCCAACAACCCAAGATGCTTAATCTTAAACTCCCCCTCCATAACCTGCGTCCTCAATTCTTGCACAGTATTCGTCTTCTTGCCCATTCGCGCTTGTAATCCAGCAGGAACCTGCAGCTTTGGCTGCGGCCGCCGTTCCCCAAGGTCCGAAGAGCGCGACGAGGACGAGGGTCGGGAAGAGGACGAGTCTGGGCGTTTGGGGTCATCGAGGTTGGGGCTGCCATTTGCCGGCCCTTCGAGCATTGGCGAAGCCATTGCCAGTGTATATGGGAGGGCGCTGTCGGAGTTAAATCGGGAAGCTGGTCCACACAGAGAACACGGGACGGCGCGGATATCACGGCAAAAAATTCAGAGGCGACGATGTTGCTGAACGATCCAGGGATTGGAATTGGTGAAAAATGTATAAGTAACTCATTGAAAATATACAAGCGAAAGAGAGAAAAAAAAAAAAAAAAAAAAAAAAGAGAGAGAGCAGTTCTTTTTCCGGACGGCCTCCCTGATGGATTGGAATTCAGAGCATACGCTTGGGCACAGCGACAGCTCAATTCCACGAGAATAACGAAGCAGACATCTGCAAGGAGGCCGGAGAAGAGCAACTGAAGAAGAAAAGGAAAAAGGACTAAGGAGAGAATGAGGGATTAAAGAGAGAGAGAAGAGAAAAAGACGCGAGATCAGGAGCAGAAGAGTTGGTCTAACGGCCACTTTGTGACCCCGTGACGTCGGGGAAGTCGGCCCTCTCGGCAGCATTGGCCGTTCGCTGATTGGCCGACAAGCAGCTTCCCTATGGGGAGATCTGTTTACTACTATGTCCGACTATACGGTGATCTCAATTTAGGCAATACAATGACCGTGGGGGTATTACACCCCTCAAGACTCTATCCGACAGCAATCCATTCAAAAACTCCCGGCGGGCCAAGGAGCAAGACTAAGTACATACATTATCCAGCTGCAGTCACCCTAAAGACAAACCGAGAATTGTAAAGGGAAGGAGAATCATAAATAACAAAGACAAAGATATCAAATCAGCTCCAAGTAACTAGTCGAGGAAAGAATGAAAAGAGCCGCTTGCGTAATGTCTTTCCAACCCTAGGAACGTGTCAGGGTGGAAAGACTACAGGTGACCAAGCACAAGAAAAAAACGCCAGAAAAAATAGGCAAAAACCAGCAGCCCTTGCTGTACACAATTCAGCTCCAGTTGTCTTTAGTCGTTAAATTGTGGGATCAAGCGATCGAGATGCTGGCAAGACTCCAGCTTGACCAGACTGGTGGCTGAAGTAGGGTTGATCTGCGTATGTGCAAGTCACGAAAGATAAAAAGGTCAAAAAAAAAAAAAACAAGCAAAATACACTAGGTAAAAAGGTTGAAGGTATATGGCGGTATATCGTCATGCTTTTGGAATCGTCGAAGATGAAGTACCGTGTGGCTCGATCGGTAGGGTATCAGTCGATGGAAGAAAGGAAAAAGGCGGATCGCTGACGGGTTTTTCGATCAGAATAGTTCGCTAAGACCACCTGTTCAGGTCGTCCTTCTCCTTCAGTCCACCCATGCGCTCAATGTCCAGGGAATGGAAACGGTCGGCATCACTGGACTGATACGGCGGAAGTTCCTCATGGCATGGCTCCAAGCCCACACCACCGGTGTCGCTAATCCTCACAACCACCATGCGTCCGGACTTGCGCTTCCCAGCTTCATCCTCCTCTTCGGGGAACGTGATGCGGATCTCGGGAACTGGACTGTCTGGCGGACTGGACGAATTCTCCATCAGACTGCGCTTCTCATCGTAAACCAAAACGGACTCTGTCTTTGCGCCGGGGGAGGCCGAAATCGTAAGACGGCGGTGATGGGCGGAAGGCGTGCATTCTCCGTTGTGCACGGGAAGGTCGGACAGTTTGCGGTTCTGGCGCTTGCGACGCAAGATCATAAGACCGGCAACCAGGATGAGAGCGAGAAGAACCAAGACCAAAAGAGCGATCAGCAAATCGACCATAGCGGGAGACAATCCATCTTCGGGGTTGTCGCGAGCGACAAGCTTGGGGAACATGTTATCGTCGGAGGTGTCGGTAGTTGGTAACGCGTGTTCAAAGATTGTCAACAAAATACGATCCTCTGAATTCAAGATTCAAGAAATAAACAAAGTCGTACTGCATGGCATTATGATTTTGTCAACCCAGGCCCTTTGGTTCGGACATATAGGCGGACTTACGCGATGTCTCAACAGTTCCTACGGTTTCAGGAACAAATCAAGACCGGAATAAACCAAGCAAGGAAAGAGAGTATATGGTCGGGTAAGGTTGTTTTCTTTTTTCGTCGTGTCGAAGTCGGTCGAGTCGAGTCGAGGTCGGTCGTCGCCGGGTATGCAAAGCACTCGGTGGAACAAGACGGGATAAAGAAAGAACGGACAGCAAGGTGCACAGCTGAAAGAGTGAAGCTGACACCTGCTATGGAATGAGAGGACGCGATGGGCGAAGGGAAGGATACCAGAGCGAGGGGTTGGTATGAGTATGAAAGAGAGTCAGTAGTAAAGAGGGAGGGAGAAGAGGAGAAAAGAGGGAAGGGAGGAGAAGAATTCCTCCTGCAGTCCGGCTGGGCTGGCCAGACCCGAGGATGCCTGTGTTTGGCCGTCGTTGGCGTAGTGGAGTTGGTCCTGGCCAACCAGATATCGGTTTTAATTTCCCCACGCTGATATGCAGCCAATTATAGGTATATCGTACCTGATTTACCGATATGATTGGCTACTGTCATTCATTAGCTATTTTGGAATGCATTAGTTCCCCTGATTGGGACTAGTTTAATATACGCTTCCCCTGAAAAGGAGTCACTATTCCATAAATATCTTCTGTATACGAGCATAAAGTGGTCTGTTCTATAATTTCTCCAATGACTGGCGATTGCAATCCTCGTACTGATATTCCGTACTCCATAATAGGTAATATCTTTCGAGAGGGATGAGCCACAGTACTGACACCTGAGGCATAAATAAGATCGATAATGTGGCACAGTAATTTAATTGCAGCGTTAAGGAGATATCGAGACATCATTGTATCATGACAGTATTTAGTCTAGATCAAAGCATACTATGACTAAGTCTCACAAATGAACCAGGGTCAAGTCAGCAAGCAAATCAAGAACTAAACATAAAGCAATGTTTCCCAATTGTCTCATACCTGCGCTCGATTGGTTGATTTCTACAGAGTACGGGGTATGGGAATGATCAATATTGTAAGTTGGAATTGACTTTCAACATTCCAGAGTCGATGCAAATAAACATGGTCTGGATACCTACCAACCGTTGCCGGGGAGTCCTCGCATTCTTGGGATTTATCGGAGATCAGATAACTGATCTGCCTAGTTGTATGCACGCAAGAGTGTATGTTTATGAAATACATCTTATGCGCTACGATGCTATCTATCCAATAACACCGACGTCAAAGGACTACCTGTATGACTGTCAACCAACAAAATGCAGAGCTCAGAAGTTCTACCGTTGGGCCAAAAAGACCACTATGGTGAACATCCGTTCATCAGGAACGGAACCACTTACAGCAAAGAAACTGGCAAATGCTATCTTCTGGGATAATTAATTGGGTCCAATTGAGGGATAGGATTTGGTATTGACATGCTTCTGACTGATTCAGCGGTCAGAAGAAGTATGACGTTCCCACGCTGCTAGCTCAGATCGGTATATGTAGTCTTTATCTGGGTGCCAGCAGCCAAAAAAGAGGATGGCCTAATATACTAACCTGGCTTGGTGTTATATCGGATCCTTCGAGCCTCAACGGAGCACTACCAGGCCCACGCCAATGGCCAAAGCTTTCGGTGACTTTGCCCGTCGCCTAATCCGGTATACAAGTACACTGGAAAATACGAGGTGCTTCGTACTTTGTACTCTGTCGTTGGGGGCCGATTGAGCCATCGAAGGCAGGCGGCGTTCAACCCCCCCAGTCCCGCTAAGAAGGACGATGTTCTGAAATTCGGCATCCTGGGAGCCGCAAACATCGCGTGAGTAGTCTTGCCAGAGTGACAGGAAAAGAAAGAAGAAAGGAAAAGCAGCCTTTCGCAAAACTAATAATAGCAAGCCCTCTTGCCTTGATTATTCCTTCTAAATCGCACCCCGAAGTCATCATCCAAGCGGTTTCCGCGCGCGATCGCCAGAAAGCAGAGGCTTTTGCAAACACACACAGCATTCCGGAGGTCAAGGACACATACCAGGGTGAGATTGACAGAAAGTTACGATCGTGATCGTATTTTGCCGATCCTCCGTCTTGGCTAACAGCTATGTTTCTATATAGAGATACTCGACGATCCCAACATTGACTGTATCTTCATCCCTCTACCAAACGGCTTGCATTTTGAGTGGGCAATTCGCTCAATCCGCGCGGGCAAGCATGTTCTCCTAGAAAAGCCATCCGTCTCCAATTCCACCGAGGCCGAGATTCTTTTTCGCCTGCCAGAACTCTCACAGCCCAATGCCCCGGTCCTTCTTGAAGCCTTTCACAATCGTTTTTTCCCCTCCTGGACGCTCTTCAGGTCAATGGTGAGCCCGGCTGATGTTGTCAATGTTACTTCCCATTCCATGATTCCATGGTGGGCAACGAGCAAAAATGATATCCACTTCAACTATCCTCTCTCGGGTGGGACGATTATGTCAATGGGTACTTACAACTTTACCTCGCTGCGTCTCCTCTTCGATGCTGAACCGGAGGAATGTGTGAGCTGCGATGCCGATGCTTACACTGATGGCATCCATAACAAGTGTGACTATGAGTTCAAGGCCCAGTTCCGATTCCCAAATGGGGGAACTGGTGTTGCCTCCAGCACCCTGAATGGTGAATCTATCCTCAAGCCCTCATGGGTGACAGTGGAGACCAGGGAAGTCGTGGTTCCCGACAGCAAGCTACCCACCTCACAAGAAAAGCTTCAGAAGCGCAAGTTAACGCTGAACGGAATGATCCATGGTGTCTTTTGGCACCGCATTGATGTCCATGACTCCTTTGAGATCCGGAACAATGATACCGGAGAGGTGATCAAGCAGTGGGAAGAGAACAAGTCACACAAGGCGTACACCTTCAAGGAGGCTGGCGGGAAGTTTACGGACCTGCCTGGTGACACACACTGGATGTCATACCGATACCAGCTGGAAGCCTTTATGAATCGGATCAAGGGCCGTCCGACCCAGGAGTGGGTTGGCGCGGAAGACTCGATTTCGCAGATGAAGATGATTGATATGGCCTATCGGAAGAGTGGGCTTGGACCAAGGCCGACCAGTGAGTACCGGTAGAGTCTCGTCTTGGTTTCCTTAGGCTTGTAAAATAGTAAAGTACGATGTACTCACATTGTGTTGGTGCTGTGTGTGGATATATATCAACAGCCATGAACGCGGATATATATTCTGCCAGTACAAATACCGATTGCACCACTATACGCCCTAGACAAACCAATCCATTGTTCCGGGCAATCTAAATCAACACCCAATACCTCCTCTCCACCTCAACACCCCCCAACGCCTTCGAAAACCTCTCCAATTCCTCCACTGACGCCGCTTTCCCACTCCCAACAGTAAACGTAACCCGGAACCACCCAAACTCCTCCGGCATATATACATTCCCCGGCGCAGCCATAACTCCGTTTCCCATACATATCTCTGCAATTCTCATCTCACGCTGTTTATAAATACCAGCGTTGGGAATGTAACTCTCAACGCACTATACCCCTGCATCTCCGATTTAGATAGGAGTAAATAGCGGAGATCGATCCAGATAAACAGGCCCGCATTCCTGGCTTGTTAGTCACGACATGTTTATCTAGGAAGGGATGCGACTTACATCTCGAAGTAGCGGATACCGACCGCGCTGGCGGGAAAACGATGTTGCAATGGTATAATTCTCCGCCATGAGATTGGTCTTTTTGAGCATGAAGTCCCTCATCCAATGTCTATCCTCTAGCATAGTGGCCCGGACGTCTTGGAGATGCGGTGGCCAGGAAAGCGTACTACAATGCATCATACTTGTCACTACCCTGTAGTCCTCGAAAGACCTAGCCTTCTTCGCCACAAGCCCTTCATGTTACACACAATCCTCATGACCATGTCGGCGATATAATACTCGGCTTTATAATCAGCAGGAATTAAAGGCTTCTGTATACTATGTTATTTAATTAGCGTGCTATTTGATTATTAGAAATGAACCAGCACATTGTATCCGACTTAACTCGGACATCATGAATCAACCCGTTGATGAAGAGAAAGCCCCGCATGCCAAAGAAGAGACCGACAGCCAACCCCCGGAGACCCTAACGAGAGCCGACCATGACCAGTACGAGGTCTCATTTGATGCCGAACAAGACCCAATGTGTCCCCGGAGCATGCTATTAGTACGGAAGTGGGTTATCGTGATTATTATCTGCATGGGGAGTTTATGCGTGTAAGCTAACCCTCATCTCCGAATCATCTCCCCTCGAAACCAGTCACTAATGGCCAAAGAACATGCACCAGCTCAATCTACACAACAACCTACCCCCAACTAACAACCACCTTCGCCACCCCACTCCTCCTCCAATCCTTCGGCCTCTCAACTTTCGTCCTAGGAATTGCCTTCGGCCCCCTCCTAACAAGCCCCCTAAGCGAATCCTACGGCCGACGACCCATCTACCTCATCTCTTGGTCCCTATTCATAATCTGGACGATACCCTCCGCCGTGGCCCGGAACATCGAAACACTCATTATAACCCGTTTCTTTGCCGGGTTTGTCGGGGGTACGTTTTTATCTGTGGCCGGTGGAACGGTGGGTGATGTGTTCTCGAGGAATGAGATACAGACGCCTATGGGAATTGTGTCGTCGGCGCCGTTCGTGGGCCCTTCTTTGGGACCTGTTGTGGGCGGGTTCGTCAATTACTTTTTACATTGGAGGTGGACGTGGTATGTTATGATTGTGTGGGCTGGGGTTATATGGTTTGCAATTGTTTTCTTTGCACCGGAGACGTATCATCCCGTTAAGCTGCGCGCTAAGGCTGAGATGCTGCGCAAGCAGACGGGTGATGATCGATATAGGGCACCGATTAAAGACACCCAATCGAGACGCGCGATAGCACTCTCGCTCCTGCGACCTTTTCAACTCCTCTTCTTAGAGCCCATGTGTCTCTGCTTGAACCTCTACTCTGCTGTTCTACTGGGAATTCTATACTTATTCTTCAGCACTTTGCCACTTGTTTTCCGGACAAATCATGATATGAACCTGTGGCAGAGCGGTCTTACATTCCTGGGGATTATAACGGGTATGTGCGTGGCAGCTGCAAGTAACCCGATTTGGTCACAGATCCGGGAGCGTTTGATAGGTAAATATCAAGCCGGAAGCGAGCCGGAGTATCGACTACCGCCGGCTATTATGGGTGGTGTTTTTATTCCGGTTGGGCTGTTTTGGTTTGGGTGGACAACTTATCCTAGTGTGCATTGGATAGTACCGGTGATTGGATCTGCGGTTTTTGGGTGTGGGTGAGCTTGATTCTGGATCTGGTTATGTGCGGGATTGACGAAAATAGGATGCTGCTTGCGTTCATGGGAATTTTTACGTTCCTCGTACGTTTATCTGTTCTGCTGTACCAAAGATCAACTATGCTCATTGTACACAGGTTGACGCATACCCCAAGTACGCCGCATCAGCCCTAGCATCTAACAGCTTCGCAAGATGTTCTGTCGCAGGTACGTTTGACACTATTCAACATCATTAGGCCTCGCTAATGTTATATAACAATATACAGCTGCATTCCCCCTATTCGGCAACCAACTGTACGAAAAGCTTGGGTATCAGTGGGCGACTAGTCTTCTTGCATTCATCACGATTGCCATGATGCCGTTTCCATGGCTGTTCTTCAAGTACGGGAAGGTTCTTAGAGGGAGGAGTAGATTTGCAGTCGTCACCTAGAAATCTGACCCAATTGCCCCCCTCCCCCAATCTCGCCGGGACCATCAAAGGCCAGATTATCGGGTAATAGTGAATCGACATCGAACATGCCGTCGAGACAGCCATAGCCTGCCGAGATCAGCTGCGGCTGGTGGGAAGTAGTTGGATGCGTGGACATCGGTGGCCCGTGTGCTTTGCTCACGCCTGCCGAGGAAACACCGCTTGAGCAGTATCTCTGACTTCCTGTGACCGTCGAAGCGCGTTGTCGAGACAAGCCGTTCCTCTTCCTCACATACCTAGCAGTTCATGAGCACCAATGTAAAACTACTACATACAAGAGAGCCACATACTTCCCTCGCCTCGACTCTATCAACTCACAAGAAGTATGCCGTATGCGACAATGCCAACAAGGCTGTCTATCAGCTGCATCGGGCATTGCATGCCTTACAGGCGACTCGGGCTCGGCGAATAGGCGTGTTGTTTTTGATTGGGCCATTGCTCAATGTAAATGCAAGAGGAACTGCAATGTATTGCATTATAAACAGGCGAGATGATATACATGGTTGACCAGAATTAAGATATTATGGTGACTTATGCACCCTCTCTGGACACACTCATATATCCGGGTAACTAAGAACACGCCTTTCCAGATTGGGAAACTGTAGGGCTGAAATTCAAGCAACATTGACGTGCAATGGGATAGAGGAGTTAATTTGTCCATAGGAAATCTGGTCCTGAATATGTCTCTTTCATTCACTTTCATCCCCTGCCATAGTTTTCTTCTATCTTCTGTTTCTTCCTGTCTTCCATAACGTCAAAGCCCATTGTTTCTGCTACCATTCCCCATCTCCATTTATTTCCCATATCCTGAATCTAGTCTTATCGGTACAGAGCCCGTGACTGCCTCGCTTTATCCATTTTATAAGTCTATTAGTCTGTTCGATCACTCGATCTGATGTCAATATGGAAGAACTATGAGACATAAGCTTGTATTTCCAATTCCGACATCCACCATACTGAAGCCAATGCGCTATGAAACGCGATAGTGGCATATTTTTGGTCTATTGGACCCATGCAAAGTTTATTGAGCAAGCTGTACGAAGACAACCCATCCTCGCAGCTCCTTTCCCTCCTGGCCCCACGTCGATGCTGCCAGCCTGCCCACCAAACTGTCGGAGTTACAGCGCATTGGCTGGCGACTACGCAGGCTGTGTCCACAAATACCTACAAAAGGCTTAGACTTTAAATGGTTACCGAAAAGACAGTTTCCCGGTCTCGGGAACCCAAATACGGCACTACAAACCCACAATCTGGAGTCCATAATCCCGCCCCCCCCCCACGTGCCTTGCGCTTCCGTTTCGCTCTGACGTTCTCGATTCTCATCACAAGCTGTCAATAAACGCAATTACTGCGAGAACTGGTCGAAGTTGTGGCTTCGGTGAATGTCGTATACCGACATGAAGCTGTTATAATACAGAAGACCGTAACGACAACCACCTAAACGCCTTTCCTAAGGGCAACCTAATAGGCAGCACACATATTGCCGGTCGACTGGGCGAACTCGATTAACCGAAATGTAAGTATCCTCGGCTTATCCTTTCAGAGCTCTATACTGGCATAACAGCTGTGTAGCACGTGCCGCCAGTCAGCCCGGTCCTTCGAAAGCAAAGGACCCCGAATCGAAAATAAAAACACTATTGCAATGGCACTTTAGTCAGATACGTCCTGGCAAATGTGCGAGGGATCGGAAACCCACACTCGAGCAAGATTTCGTTTGAAGCAAAAAAAGGTGAGAACTCTCGGTAAGGGGATAGGGCTCAGAGCATCTATACAGATCCTATTAGAAGTGAGGTGGCGTCTCCCGCAAATCCAGCCCGAGAGGAAGATACGGCTGCGGGTGAGGGATGGGCCACGGCAAAGCAGAAGAGAGAAATACGTATTATAACAAATCTCTACAAGGCCAGGAGAAAGCTGTTTCTAGAAAGGCCATATGGTACGGAACACCTGTATCGACATGGCGTTTCCAACATCTTCGCGATTAATCACAGCAAGACTCAAAGGAAACTGGAAACTATCTTGGTAGCGCCCAATGGAACACACCTTCCATGAACAACACATCTTCGGCCGGAACAAATCTGTTTGCGTGCCTGCGGCTGCCTTGCTTACGAGGCCGTCCTTGATGCGTGGTGAGTCTGCAACTAGTTAGTTAACTAATGCTGTCCATCACTAATCACAGAGCTAACCAAGTGATCTAGTCGATTATTCTTTATTTTATGACCATGGTGGTTTGCTAATTCCCATTGCAATTTTTGATAAAGAGGAGCCAGCACTCACGTCTTTGATCTGATTTTCTGCGTCAAGAAACCCGTCAAGGAGCTAGAAGAGAGCGACCAAAGATTACCTATGTGTCTGTTTGAACAAGGTTAAACTAAGTTAACTAACGTCGTCATACCAGCTGACGGACTACCAGACCTCGTGCGTGACAATGGAGGAGTTGTTGTGACCTCAACAAATACTGTGCACTTAGAAACAAAAGCTTTCTGATAGAGATATGAAGCGGCTCACGTGTTTCCCATTGGGTGTGGGAACGTATTGATTGCGTATTGGTATACTAAAGATGTCTACTCTCGGATCGCGGTCTTGGTGGGCCCTGATGTAAGTTCTCCAGTCTTGCCATTCCAAGTCTACCCACTAACATAACGCAGAGGAGTGAGAGAGCCTCCGGCAATTCCACAAAATATTGCTACACCGATGTGAAGTAATCCTCCCGAACTCCACTCAGAGCTATAATCATGTCACCGATGACTTATTGCGTTGACATTTCAGAGAGAGTGTTATCGGAAATACACAGGTGTTAGCGCCTGCGCTTGAGGGTCCCCATTCACAACCTCACCACGCGAACTCGACAAGATAAGAGCCGACGGGAGCAAGACCAGCGGTTCATACCAACAAGAAGCAGACCCGGTTTGACATGAGGTGGGATGCCTTGCTTCCTGAGCAGGAGGACACCACGTTCGCAATTCTAGAATTCAAAACTACTGAGGTTCTACACCAGCAATACCTTGTATCAGGCGACTTGGCGCCTGCACAGCTGAGCACGCAGAAAGGAGAATGAGGAGGCGAAGAGAAAGCCATATAGAACTAATTTCCCCGAAGAGACATAAGGAACCACCAACCACATCATTGGATGCAGCAAGTTAGCGGCTGCGTCGGTCGTCGCACGTTGAAACGGAATATCGGACCTGAATATGCGCCGTGTTATTGCGCGTTGGTTACTTTAGCGCGAGCACCTACTCGAAGCATGCATCGCCTGCATGAAATGGCACTTTTGCAAGAGGGCCACCAGAAGCCCTCTATCACATTTTCGGCCGCAACAAATCTGCGGGTCGTTCGTTGCACTGACATATCGTGCATAAAACATACAGGGTGCTAATCCACCGCAGCTGAGAGTCGTTGAACCTAATACACGAAAGAACGATGCTCTGGAACAAAGTTATGTCCTTGGGTGGAAGGAATATGGAATTAATCAAGGTCATTCTGGATTATCAGAGTGTTTTGATATTTTCTTGATTGCATGAGGCGTTGGTGGAGAAAGTTTGGCGCTTGCGAGCAATATCGCAAAAATCGAAAGCATTTCCAAACCACAATACCCGGAATGGAAAAACAAGAGGGCTACAAGAAGGCCTCAATCACATCTTCGGGCACAACAAATCTGGCAGCTTGCGCTGTTTTCCGAAGGGAGGATGAGAAAGTTATGTTCATAAACGGGGTTGATCTGGATGACGGCAGTTTGATAGTTTTCATTATGACTTCTATATACACACCAATATCCTGTACCTAAAGAGTTCTCAAGAATCAAATAAACCACCCATCTCACCCCATAACACTCCCCCACCCCCGATCAACACTAATAACCGCCCCATTAACCAACCCCGCTCCCCTCCCACCCGCAACCCAAACACACAAATCTGCAACCTCATCAACATTACACAACGCCGTCCCAGCAGCCTTCATAAGCGCCTCCATCTTCTGATACCCCTCTTGATTGATACCGGCGTGGAAAGCATCGCTGACGTTTGTCTCCATTGCGCCCATTACGAGCGCGTTGCAGCGGATGTTCTTGTTGATGTAGAAGGAGGATGTGTTTTTGGTTAGGCCGATGAGGCCGTGTTTGCTGGCTGTGTAGGCGGCACCTGTGCCAGTTAGTATACTTCCTGTTAGAGAGTAGGGACATGAGAGGGTAGAAACGTACCAGCAGCCAGCCCAACATTCCCGGCAACAGAAGCAATATTCAAAATACACCCCTCCTTCTCCCCCGCAAGCCACCCCTCAACAGCCAATTTACTCAACCAAAACGGCGCCGTCAGGTTAACCTTCATAACACGATCCCAAAGCCCAGGATCCAGATCACCCACGGGGTCAAACCGATCCATGATACCCGCGTTATTCACGAGGATATCCGGCGCGGAAGTACCAAATTCATCGCGGATCTTGGCGAAAAGGTCGTGGACTGCGTCGAGGGAGGTTATGTCGACTGTGTAGGCGCGGAGGGTTCCTGTTCCGAGGGCGGAGATTTGGGATGTCGTTTCTTCGATGCGAGAGGGGTTAATATCGCAGATTATGACTGTTGCGTTGGCGTGGAGGTATTTTGTGGCAATGGCTTTTCCTAGACCGCTTGCGCCGCCGGTGATGAGGGCTGTTTTGTTGGATAGGTCTGCCATGCTTCTTTCAAGGTTTGAAATAATCAATTGTAATTGAAGAGTTACAAGTAGTTAAATGATATCTATTCCTATATACTAGGAAAAAGCTACGGATAACCAACTCCGTGCTCCGATGGTCAGTCGACATTAGACTTTCTCCGCAAAACTCTTATCAGGGGTGATTGGTTCTCATTCGGATCTCGGAAACTAACGCAGCCGAGTTGGAGATCGGCTACTTTATTCGCACGTAGGGGGCACGTGATGTTATGTGATTGTCTGGTGAGGTTTACAGGATACTGTTAGTCGGGGTTTAAGATATCAGGTAGTCTCATGAGATACTGGTCTCACTATGGCCAATATATGTGTGGAAATGAACAGTCGCTTTACAGTAGCATGTATCTCAGTGCATTTCGGGACCAACTGAGTACTTGCACGGAGTACCCACGTATGTCGGCAAGGCAGTGAAACAAAATCACCGTCAGTAAAGACGCATTTCTGTGCCTGTATCTATATGTACCAGTACTCCGACCAAACACCGGTTCGCTATGGATCTACAGCACAGATACAGGTACAGGTACAAAACTCCATACTCCGTGCAAGTATTGACCGGGATAGTGATCCTCATATGATGTGCTGTCGATCAGTCTCATACCAAGCGTAGGTTTCAAAGGATTTCAAAGAAATGCACAACGGTCAGGGACGATGATTTGTTCAGGAATGCAAAGTTAGCGATCCTCCTAAATTCTCCGAGCCGGAAATCTGGGGAAGTCAGAGTAATCCCGTGACCAGTATGACTACAACGCATTGTACAGCTTGTATGTGCTCAACATATGACATTTATGTAGCATGTAGCACTGAAAGAACGGTCAGTGATGCCTTTCCACATCAGAGACTTTTGTCGTTGTGCTGTTCGAGAGTCATTTGGTTATCTTGACTAGGCTGAAGCAAGGGGCTGGTTATGGATCCATGGTATGGTATCCCTAGACGGCGGGATATATGAATCATTCGTTGTCTAAATGAGTGCGATATTACCGTTCTTTATAGTGTACTCATACGTAGGCTGTCATGAACCCTGGTTCGTCGGCCAATAACGGAATAGCGTAGACAACAGCAGCAGTGGCCAATAGAAAACTGTCTCGGTTGCGCATCCGGTCGGAAGACCCACCGGGAAGGCTGTTTCGGGTCCGCAGTTTGATGGGGACTTTAATATTGTCGTATATTGACGGGAATAGATCATGGTGATATTGACATTGTTCTTAATGGATTATGTAGACAATCCATTGTGGTTGATATGAGATGGTGTATTACGCTACAGGGAACGAACCGGATCATTGTAAGCGGCAAATCACCAAGCTAGTTTAGTGGATCCGATCGGTCGGCGATGTGCTTAATTCTGCCTTGTGAACATGAGTGTAGAGCGTATGTAACAACTTCAAACTGGAATGTTGACGCGCCATGGAACACATGCCACCGGTCTCAAGCGGGGTTGGTATGTTGAATGGTCAGGAAATCATGTCCGAAGTCCAGGTACAGTGATGACTTGAATGTCTACCAGAGTACTGTATGTGTGGGCGTTGAACCGCGGGAATTACCTGCTGTATGTGTGTGATGTCTGGCGGTCAGTCGCACATTGCTTGCTATGACTGCTATCATTTTCCTACTACTACTACTACTTGTACTGCGTACACGACAATATGATACGTATCAAGTCATCTGACCTGTAACTTGAGCCCCAGATCCAACTCGTATTGTATGGTAATGACCGGCGGCAGGCGACCAATGTTACACTAGGTCATAATGCCTTTTGCACACTAAATCCAAGTATCCTTGGCCGAGCGGTACCGTAACATACTGTAACGGGAACTCGTTTTTCCAGCAGCTTATCTATCAACTTTCCAAAAACGCACTGCAAAGACTTCACAGTGAAGATTTCACCATCATTGAATTGGTGTTTTTGACTTGACGTGTTTTTTCTCTTTTTTTGTCCTGCCCTGATCCTTGGATGCAGCTGTTTTTTTCTTTCTCATTTTTGTTTGCTTTGTTGGGTTGAACCGCAAAGCTTTTTTTGTTTTTTTTTTTTTTTTTTTTTGCTGATTGATTCCGTGGCATCATTCT